AATCCCAGAATTCTGGGAGGCTGAGGCTGGAGGATTGCTTGATACCAGTTTGATACCAGCCAGAACAACATAGTGAGATGTCATCTCTACAAAAAAAAAAACTGTTTTAAAATTACCCAGGGGTGGTGGTGGCACCCACCTGTAGTCCTAGCTAATTAGGAGGCTGAGATGAAAGGATTGCCTGAGCCCATGAGTTCAAGGCTACAGTGAGTAACAAACGTGCCACTGCACTCCAGCCTGGGAGACAAAGTGAGGCTCTCTCAATCATACACACAGACACACACACACAGACAGAGACACACACACACACACACGGGGAATGGAGGGAAAAAGAATCTATCAGTGTCCTGAAGCACTGTCCAGAATGAAGGGTGTCCTTATTAGCAGATGTACTTATAGGAATAATCAAAGCTAGGAGTGTATGAGCTGCCCCAGGGAAAACAAGCAAACAATAAGAGCAGAGGGCATGTTTAAGACACAGGCAGGGCCAGGTGCAGTGGCTCACACCTGTAATCCCAGCACTTTGGGAGGCTGAAGCAGGAGGATTGCTTGAGCCCAGGAGTTCAAGAACTGTTCCCTACCATGGCCAGGAAGAAAATCTGGGGGCTGCACAGGTCATCTGTCCATTCTTCTCCAATGCAGGTATCAGAGGTCACTATTCCCCAAGAAATAAGAACCTTCTGTTCTTATCCCTCTCCAGATGCTCACATTGCTTCCCAGAGTGTCCACGCCTGAATCTGCCTCAAACACAGAAGTCACATCTTGAGAGGCTTTACTCTCACCCTGTTTTTCCTTTCAGTTTGCATTCTAAAATGGATTTGTAATCCCTCAGGCATCAAACTTCTTGAGTCTGCTTAAATATGTGGTTAATGTCTAGAATGACCTGCAAAAAAACAGCTATGTTTTAAGGTCGGAAAACACTCCAAGAGAAGACAGAAACCATGCCCCATTCAATCTGCATAGTCAAGCATTCTCTGAGCCAAAGTCCTCCAGAGAAAGAGAAAAGAAGCAGGACAGGGTTTGGCCCAGCATACCCTTGCAGTACCCTCTCACTCAAACTTAAACACAGGCCACATTCTGAAACCAAGGCAAAAACTAAGAATAACACAAAAGGGAGCTAACCCCCATGCTCTTAGCCCACATATCAAAGGCCCACGTGACTGACAGAATGCTGGGTGGGAGGCAACTGGGCCATACAAGTATCCAGTTCTTTCTCCTCCTCCTAACATATTTTCAGGCACTTCCACAGGCGAACTAAGAGGTGGTGAGGATTCCAGCAGGAGCTCAGTATGCGTCCCTACAAGGGGACCTTTCAACATGCACCCAGCTAGCACTGCCTAAGGATGAGATCAGCCTCTACACTACAGGCCACCAAACAAGCTGACTTTGTGGCCAGATGGCCAACCCCCTGTGAGGCATTAAAGATGGAAAAGGATTAGCTTCACCCACAGGGACCACATTCCCTATCCAAATCATTAAATCATTAAAAATAGAGGGTACATTCAGGGGACAGGCATAGAAACCTTTACAAGCGCCTCTGTGAGGCATCAGGGTTGCCCCTTCCCTGTCTCTCTCCTTCCCTCCTTCCCTCTGATCCCTGAACCCAAGTCACCCAGCAAATATATTACCACCACCACCACCATCAGGCTCACCTTCCAAAATACCTCCCTCTGCTTCCACGATGGCAGTGTCCTGCTCAAGAATCTATAATAACTTCCCATTTGCCGTAAGACCTCAACCTAGCACTAAATTCCTGCAAGCTGTGGCCATTTTACCTATTCCTGTCCTCTGCCTTCTACATGTGCCTTGTTCTTGCTCTCTCACCTTCTCTCTAGTGTCACAGCCCAGTAGCTAAGAACATATTCAAACTGAGTTCAAATTCCAGTCCCACCATTTAGGAGCTGGAGACCTTGGGCAAGGAAATTAAATGCTTCAATGCTCTAGTTTCTCCATCTGCAGAGCAGAATAATGATGGTACCTACTGTTCAGGTGAGTACAGTGGTGATGAAGTAAGAAAACACAGGTAAAATGGTTAGAATAAAACATGACATATGGTATCACCCGGTAAACATTAGATATTAAAATACCTGTTAGTATTCATACAAGCCTTTCCTAGCAACACCAGTCAACATCTGCTTCTATGAACAGACAGACACAGATACTGGCTGCGATTGTTAGGCACTGTTTCATAGGGCAGGTCACTTGGATGGGAATCAGGTGTTACCTGTATTATTAAATTCATGTCCTAAAACACATACCTATGACTCCCAAATTGTCTCTGCCTCCAATGATAATGTTTCTGATAAGTTTACCACTGAGAGACACGATATATTTGCATAGTTACAGATTTTGTTTCTTGGATGCAAGGCCTAATTCTACCAAGACTAAAAACTTCCTTTTTTTTTTTTTGAGTTGAAGTCTCACTCTGTCGCCCAGGCTGGAGTGCAATGGCATGCTCATGGCCACCACAGCCTTGACCTGCTGGGCTCAGGTGGTCCTTCCGCCTCAGCCTTGCAAGTAGCTGGAACTACAGGTGTGCGCCACCACCCCTGAATAATTTTTTTATTTATTGTAGCAACGGTGTCCTGTCAAATTACCTGGGCTGGCCTTGAACCCTAGGTCAGGCAATCCTCTCTTCCTCGGCCTCCCAAAGTGCTGGGATTATAGGCATGAGCCACTGTGCCCAGCAAGACTAAAAACTTAAGAGCAGGGATCATACCCCATTTGGTGCACATGAGAGTTCCCAACACAAGTCAATGCTTGTTGAATTTAAAAAGATAGCATGGTGTGACTTGAAAAACATGGGAGTAGTACTTGGGAGATGAAATGGACCCTCAGAATAAGATTTAAAACCTACTCTTTCAGTGTTCCTACTTTCACATGTCTTGCCACTAATACAGACAATTAAACCACAGTGTTGGTGGGGCAAATACAACAAGACGAAGTGGGATCTGAGTCAGGCTAAGGAGGCAGCCTCCATTCTTGGTCTCTCTACCTCAAATCTTCTATAGTGCTTTAACCATCCTTTCACATGGCAGTCATTAATTCTACCTTGTTTTAGGTCTTCAAAGACTTCACACCATCTCTTCTGAATGATAAGCTCCATTTCTCACAAGTTTGAATGCCCCATAGCTACCATGACAGTGCCTTACTGAGGAGATATCCAATGTTTAAAGTAATCCAGAGGGAAATCTAAATTTCACAAGTTTTGATAGCAGTATCCACTATATCCAAGATTATACAACCACAATTATAAAAGCACTGCCCAACAGAAAGTTTCAAAGGGCCTTCTTTAACTAACGAATAACAATATACAGAGTGCTTTTAGGAAAATGGATACTGTGAAGCACCTGAGTGCATTGAAAATAGTCATAGTTTCAGCATAGGTTGGGGGTGAACACTTTCTCAGGACAATGTTATCCCCATCGTGAGGCCCATTAGAGCCCACTCCTGGCTTCCCTCCACCTCCTCACTTATATTGCTGGAAGATGCAGCACTGAGTGGTAAGCGTAGGGGAAGTTACAGCTAGCCTTGCCTCTTCTTTCCTTAGGATAAGAGCTGCCCCCATGGAATCTGTATGTTCTCTCTCTCTCTCCCTTTGCAAAGGAAGTCTGCTCTGCTCTCATTGATGGTGCCCTGCTGGGAAGGTCTGACTTGTTTGGGAGTTTAGTAGAAGGAAGCCCACCTTCCTGCAGAAATGAGCCACATAGTTTCACAACAGTTTTGAGCAATAAAGGTGATGCATGGCAACTACCTGCTGACATTTTAGTGTATATATATGTATATATATATATGTATATATATATATATATTGGTCAATTTGTTCAGAACCTGGGAGGGGAAGAATGATGTTAATTACTGGGCTTCCTCAGAAACCCCACCATACTCCCCTGTAACCAGGCTGATTAAGAGACTTACTATGGGAGAAAAGGGAAATTCCAGAAAAAGATCCCATGTGTCTTCATCAGCATCACATGCCAGGCCTACTTTTGCATACACTGCCTGAGAAATAGCTGAAAATCGACTCCTCGCCCTAATAGACACAACCCACCATACAAGTGACCTGTCTAGAAAGGTTAAAAATGCCCCATAACCCATTCCCCATTTTCTGTGAGAATAATAAGCTTTATCATACTTCTCATACAAGCCCAAATTAAGTATTTATAACAACTGCTACTTAAAATACTAGCAGCCATTTTTATTACAAGGGAAAAGACAGAAGCTGTGAAAAAAGACTATATTTCATCAGGTACAGTTATAAACAAGGCTAAGACAAAACACACAGTCCTCTGATATAAACATTTTCCATTAAAAGCATCAGATTGCATCTATACTACTACTAGAGGTCAAGTCATTGAATGGCTTGCTTGTTTGTCCAGAAAGCACTGAATGGGCTTCAGAAAGGTTCAGAGAAAGCAGATATACCCCAAAATACACGGAATGGTTGGTCCCCTTCTCTAAATCATGTTTCCCACATGTCTTTATCAAACATCACAAGTAGGATGTTGGTCAGACACAATAGCTCACGCCTGTCATCCCAGCATTATGGAAGGTCAAGGAAAGAGGATTGCTTTAGCCCAAGAGTTCAAGACCAGCCTAGGCAACATAGTGAGACTTCATCTCCACAAAATAAAAAAAAATTTAAAACAAAATTAAAAAGAGAGTCAAGCTGGGCCCGGTGGCTCAGCCTGTAATTCCAGTGCTTTGGGAGGCTGAGGTGAGTGGATTGCCTGAGCCCGCGGGTTCGAGACCCGCCTAGGCAACTTGGCGAGACCTCATTTCTACAATAAATCAAAAATCAGTGGTAGCACGCGCCTGTAGTTCCAGCTGCTTGGAAGGCTGAGGTAGAAGGATCGCCGGAGCCCAGCAGGTCGAGGCTGCGGTGGCCGGGAGTGGCCACTGCACTCCTGTCTGGGCAACAGAGTGAGACTCCAACTCAAAAAAATAAATAAACAAAATTAAAAAGAGAGAAATAGGAAGAGTTTAAGAGACAAACTTACATGCTCTTTCATCTTGGTGGCCACAGTTGTTGACATCATGATGCAGCAGAGGACGACAACTAGGATGAAGTAGATGGCATACATGAGGCGGGTGCTGCAAGACTGTCGGATCTTGGGACAGCAGTCACAGCAGAGGGAGCAGCCTGCCGACCCACAGCAGCAGGCCAGCTATAAAAGGAACACAAAACATCCTGTAGAATATAGTGTTATGACATCATAAGAAATACAGCCAAGTGCAGCAACTCACGCCTGTAGTTCTAGCTACCCAAGAGGTCAACTTGGGAGAATTGCTTAAGGCCAGGAGTTCAAGATCAGCCTGAGCAACACAGTGTGTGTGTGTGTGTGTGTGTGTGTGTGTGTGTGTGTGTGTGTGTGTGTGTGTGTGTGTGTAAACTCTGGAAGTTCCTGAGTGATAGAGGTGAAAGGAAAATGTTTTGTTATTAATAATAAGCCCCTTTCAACCATACCAGAGCTTATGTCAACAAGAGGACTCTTCAAGGGCCGCTGAATAGCCTCAGGTAGAAGAAGGCTGGTTGCCAGCATAACCAACCACCTGGTTAGGCGATTGGGACTTTAAGGCTCACTCCCTATCCCCATGGAAGAGGGAGGACTGGAGATTGTGCTAATTACCAATGGCCACTGAATACACCAGTCATGTCTACATATAACAGCGCCTACATAAAAGCCCTAATCAGGTGGATTCAGTGCTTTCAGGTCAGTGAGAGCATCCATGTGCCAGTAGGATGACCACTCAACTCCATGGAAACAGAAGGTTCCTGTATTTGAGACCTTCCAGACCTCCCTGTGTACTGCCTCATCTGGCTATTAATTCATATCATTTATAACAAATTAATAACAAGTAAAGAGTTTCCCTGAGTTCTGTGAGTCATTCTAGCTGATTATCAAACCTGAGGAAGGGGTCATGGAAACCTGTGATCTTATAACTGGAAGGCCTAGACTTGCAATTGGCATCTAAAGTGGGTAAAGTCCTCTAGAACTGAGGCCTTAACCTATGGGGTTTGTACTGACGCTAGATAGTGTCAGAACTGAATTAAACTGAAGGGCACTCAGCTGGTGTCATATACTGAGCCAGTACTTTACAGATGTATTTACTCTGGCATTCTGCAGGTGGACCTTCTAAGTTACAAGTTGGCCATTCTTCACAGGCACCTTGACCACAGGGCACGCAGTTCCGTGTGTGAGCTAAGCTACCATGAGAATTGGTCTGGTGCTGTCTTTAATGATAAGTACTAATGGCTTAGGAGATACCCCATAATTACACAGAAAAGCCAGTTCATCTGAAGCACTATAATTACTACCCTAGACAAAAACATTTCTGAAATCAGCCAAGAGCAAGAGAAGCCAAGAACTTTTTAAAAAAGAAAAAATGTAAGGTGGAAAGAATATGGAAAATAAGAAGTTAGGCCCAAGATAGGAACTTCTCAAAATCCACAAGCCTAAGAATGTATTATATGAACACCCAAGGATATATGCTGGGATGGAAAGGCTATGCTTGCAGCCTCCACCTTTACAGGAAGCATTGAGAGTGTGTGAGGTAAAATTTGAAAGAATAGGTGCCTCTCATACCACAGCTTGCCAGAGCTTCACACCTAAAATGGTAAGCTTTTGAGGCTAGTAAGACTTGAGCCCAGAGAAGCACAGAGCTCCTGTTGTACCACTAACAGCACACACATCTTTTATTTGGGTGAACCCAATCTTTCATAAGGTATAGGCAACACAGCACAATAGTTAAGAGCTCAGGCTCAAAATCAGCCTGCCTGGCTTTGTGGCCTGGCTTTGCCACCTATTAGCTATGGACCATGAGCAAGTCATTTACCCCTTTAAGACTCAGTCGCCTCATTTATGAAGGGGATATGGTAATAGTATCCCCTCCCAGGTCTCTTGGATGACCTAATCAGACACCAATGGCATTAAGCAAACAGGAAATTCTACAAAAGAGATTACCATAAACTGCAAATCATGACTATAATCCCAGCACTTTGGGAGGCCGAGGTGAGAGGACTGCCTGAGCCCACAGGTTCAAGACCAGTCTGGGCAACTTGGCGAGTCCTCATCTCTACAATAAATCAAAAAAAGTAGCTGGGCATGGTGGTATGTACCTATAGTTCTAGCGACTTAGAAGGCTGAGGCAGAAGGATCACCTGAGCCCGGTAGGTCAAGGTTGCAGTGGCCATAAGCATACCACTGCACTCCAGCCTGGGCGACACAGTGAGATTCCAACTCAAAAAAAAAAAAAAAATCTGTATGTATTAACATTATATTCCATATAAAATCCAACAATTCTATCTCTTGATAATGATTTGGAAGGAAGTCTGAATCTTTGCAAGCCTTCAAAACAATCATCACTTATAACGAGCCAAGACCACAAGTACACAGGTAGGGCAACAAATCATAACAATGTCACGAGAGAACTTGGAATCACAGCCATTTCTCAAGTTGTCTTATTTCTATGAAATTGCCATTGTTTGAGCTCTTTGTAATTCTGTACTATTTCATCACTTCAAATTTTTTCTAGCATGCTCTCTTATATCTGTTTACAAGGCAGCTGGGGCACAGTGGCTCATATCTGTAATCCCAGCACTTTGGGAGGCTAAGGCAGGAGGTTTACTTGAGGCCAGGCATTCTAGACCAGCCTAGACAACATAGTGAGACCTCATCTCTACAAAAAAAATCAAAAAATTAGCCAGGAGTGGTGGTGTGTGCCTGTAGTTCCAGTTACTCGGGAGGCTGAGGCAGAAAGATCACCTGAGCTCAGGAGGTCAAGTCTGTGGTAAGCTGTAATCATGCCACTGCACTCCAGCCTAGGTGATGGAAGGCCACTGCACTCCAGCCTAGGTGACGGAGTAGTGAGACTCTGACTCAAAAAAAAAAAAAAAAAAAAATTACAAGCCAGCCTCCTCAAAAGAGTCTTCTTGACTCCTAACACTAAGTCACTGTTGTAAAAGAAGTTATTCTACTTAGGCTGAGCTAACAGATCACACAAAGTAGTATCCTAGCATCACTACATGTGTAGGTGTTTTATTGGCTACCTTCCTTTACAATTCCTTCATTCATATTCTCAGTGTCTGATTTTATTGACTTCTTTCCATTCACATGCCCAAATTATACACATACACAAATTGTCCCCTCCTGCTCCTTTAGTTGGCTTTCTTTTGGGCTCTGCCTCCTGAACACTTTCCCACTGCCTCCTTCATTGGTGGCTGACTTTCTTTTTTTCTTCTTTTTTGAGACAGGGTCTCACCATGTTGCCTAGGCTGGAACTCAAGCTCTTGGGCTCCAGTGATCTTCCAGTCTCTGCCTTCCAAGTAGCTGGGACTACAGGAATGCACCACCACGTCTGGCTGTTTGCTAAGTAACAATGTTGTCTTAGATTATTGGTTTTACTGTATTACAAATTCAAATGTAATAAACAAAAGACTTATCCTAAATATTTAGAAGCAGACAATGCCTCCCACAATAGAACTTTCCCACAGCAGAACCAACATTTAAACTAGGTCTCCACAGAGGAGAAAATGAATAGATTCATAAGTAATGTGAAACTAACTGGAACTGATCGTGTAAAGGCAGATAAATAGTGACAGAAGGAATGTGACTGCAGACTAAAAAAAAAAAGGCATATTGGTTTTAATCCTATTCCATCATTATTCTATGAGTAATGCTATATGGCACTATTAAAAATATGCACTTATTAGAAATCAATAGCCTTTTTCTACTAACCCAAAAGTTATTCTTCAAAGCAAACCATGCTAATACCCAAGGGTACAAGCACACTATCTTAAGCTAAACATTGATGGATATACCAGGTGGAAATTCAAAACAGTATCCATAAAAGAATATTTGTTAGCATCTAGGAAAACCTCACAGCCCTGCTAACTGACCACTTGTTTCTAGAAGAGCCTAACTTCCAATAAAATGGGTTCATGTCTAGCCCCTACCACTACAGCTTTGTGATCCCGGGCATGTCAGCCACTTGATCCTCACTCTCAAAACTGGGAAAGTCAGTTCCTGGCTGGAATTCCCAGAGTTGTCCCAAGCTTGGAGAGAAGTACCAGGATCTCACTACCCCATCTCCAGAGGGCACAAGCCTTCTACTGAACAAGTCAGGGCATAAAAATCGTAAATGCAGAATGCACAATGCCAAGAGTGAGCCCTAATGTACACGATGAACTCTGATAATGATGATGTGCCAATGATGAGTGAACAAATGAACCACTCTGGTGGGGGTGTTGATAGTGGGGAGGTTGTGCGGGTGGGAGGCAGAGGTATCTGGGAACTCTCTGAACTTCGTTCATTTTCCTGTGAACCTAAAACTGCTATAAAAAAGAAAGTCTACTTTTTAAAAATTAAAAATAAATAAATATAACAAAACAGTGTCCATGTATTGCTCAGTAAATGGATGCTGGATGAATAATGTATGGTAAAGTCAAAATGGCAACACTCCTCAAAGCAGCTGGCAACCCCACTCCGTGAGACCAAGTTCACAAGTGAGTGCTACATTCAATTCCTCATGCAAGCACTATATCTCGAAGAATATACAGGGCTTAATTTGTAGATACTGGATACTTTCCTTTTCCACAGCAAATTATTATACTCTCAAAAGGTAGTCAGACAATCTCTTTGGAGGGCAATGCTTTCAATCCTTTCAGAAGTTCCTCTTGCAGATACATTTCCACAAGGGCACAAAGGTTTGGGTATGAGGTTGTCCATTACAAACACTAGAAACAGCCTTATTCTCCAGCTACATGGGGACCAGATAAATAATCATGAACTATCTACACACTGGAATATTTTTTTAAAATATATTTTGTGGCTTTAGTGAGAGTAAACTCAACAAAATTTTTTGGTTTTGCTGAGAAAGTTACAATTTAATTGGCAGTATATTTATAATGGTACATAAAATAATTGTACGTAATAATTTTTAATGGTACATAAATTAAGAACTATCTACTCAATGGAATATTTTTTAAAAGAATAAATCAGTGTTGTAGATTGACTTGTGTTTCCACAAATTCATGTTGAAGTACTAACCCCTAGTACTTCAGAAAGTGACTATATTTAAAGACAGGGTATAAAGAAAGGTAATTAAGGTTAAATAAGGTACACTGAGGTGATCCCTAATTCAATATAATTCCTGTCTTTGTAAGAAAAG